AATTTTTTCATAGATAAAGAAACAGTTTTACTGTGTGAGAAATGTAGTACGTTTCTTTCGTTCTTTCTTTCTTCATTTTTGGTGATAGTAGTGCCATTTTTCAGTTTTTACGGAACGCTGGTTGCCTTGGACTTAGAAAACTTAACTCAAAATAATTTTACTTTACTCATATAAATAAATAAATTAGTTTCATAATAAAATTATCCCCTCAAATTCTAGCAAATACTTACTGTATGGAAAAAAAAGTCACTGACGAGACATCACATATAATGTAGTTAGTTCAGTAATCCTGAAAAAAAGGCTGAAAATTGATGGGAGGATATCTTTACTTGACTGTACATTCATTGATTATCTTGATTATATGATGATCCTTTGAATTTTGCACGTAGCATATTGCTGCCAGACACTTTATATGTCTACACTATTAATTAACTCTGCCATCACAGCAATCTTCTCTTGATAACTAAATCTGTAATTCAACTTCCGTCCTATAGTTACATTCCAATTTGTTTATATAAAAGCACGTAGTTTAGCAGAAAACATTTATTTCCTTTTTATCAGGGGAAATTATTATAATATGTCAACTTAAAAAGAAAAGGAACATGATGCTATTTTAGCTGTTTTGTTTTTGATGGGCAGTTGAGAAAGGAAAGAAAATTAGCAATTAGGACATGTTGCATACTAGACTCAAACCTACATGTTTCAAATGAGCGCTAAATGTTTAGGCACAAGTTCAGAATTGCAACTCGTGGCTTTTTAACTTCAAGCCATTAATTAAAGTTTGAATAAACTTAGTTCTGCCAGAACAGAAGTCTTTTTTTTCTGTCTCGGTGTAAACAAATTAAAGAACCATAATTCACAGTTATTGCATTGCATTTTTTTTGTGATTTGTAGGTGTAATATTCTGGATGATACAGACATGACCAACTGAACAGATTTAATTTGCATGCTAATTCATTAAAAAATTTTACCCAGTTCTCTGTTTATCTTACCAGATACAGCCAAGCTGTGGTACGTTTTTCTTCCATTGAGCCTCATTTCTGAATGAGAAAAACTTTATCAGTTTAATTAAGTCCTTTAGCTTCTGTGATATTTTGTTTTCATATATTCATTGTCCAGATCAGTTCGGCCCACCGGTACATATTTCTTCCTGCAGTTTTATGATAGGAACATGCTTGAAAAACAAAACAACTTTTGCTAACTTTGCTGTGATTCACAGAACTTTTAATTGCAAAAAAACAACTTGTGACATGATATGCAGAGTAATTACTCTGTGGAATATAATATGTTGTCTCTTTCCATTAGCTCTGATACAGAGAGCTCATCTAATAATTTTTATTGGTTTAGGTTGTGGTGTAAGAATTAAATACACATCTTCTAGCTGCAGATATAAAATATGTGATACTGACAGAAGAACAAAATAACATTTGTAATGCATTTGTTGCGAGGACAACTGTAATTAGGAATTCTAAATCTCTTCACCTTTTAGAATAATAATTGCAGTATAGCCTATATATATATATATATATATAT